CACAACAACCTCTCCAGTGTGCCTGCTGGGCTGCTGGCCGGGCTGCCCCTCCTCACCGCCCTGGCACTGGACCACAACCGCCTGGCCCGCCTGCCCCCACGACTCTTCGATGCCAGTGAGGAGCTGGCACGCGTCGGGCTGGCCGACAACCCCTGGGCCTGTGACTGCCACCTGGCCTATCTCCTGGGCTGGCTGCAGGGCTTTGCTGAACCCCTCACCCATGCACAAGCCTCCTGTGCCAGCCCGGCCGCCCTCCGGGGACGATCCCTACTGGAGGTCCCCCAGAGGCAGCTGGAGTGCCCAGGAGAGGCCAGCATCCCCCCAGAGGAGGGCTGGGACGGGGTGCTGGGGGAGGATGCTCCAGGGCAGTGCACCTACAGCAACCCCGAGGGCACCATAAGCATGGCCTGTGATGCCACAAGCTGCCAGCAGCTCAGCCTTCGCCTCCCTCCTCCTCCTGGGCCAGCAGTGGGGCCAGGGCCGGTGTACCAGGGCACCTGGGTGCTGCGATCCCGCTGTGGCACGCTGCAGGTCAGTGTCCTCGTCACCATGCAGAGTGGGGATGAGGTCGCGTCGCCAGGTCTCCCTGCTGTGCCCTAGGGCTCTGCCCGCTTCTCTGCTCTTGCATGGGCAATGTCCGAACCAGCCTGGGAACTGGCACCCCATCTAACTCTGGTCACCAGCTGCCACCGAGCTCTCCGCAAGAGCTGGCCTGGTAGTATTTATTCTCCCAGCTATGCATTTCTTGTGTATTTCAAACAGCATTAAAACGTACGTATTATTTCTGTGCTACCAGTTCCTGTGGTGGAGAGAGGAAACACTTCTCCCCATCCCTGCCTGCATACGGGGGGGAAGCGAAGGTCGCTGTGGTCCAACAGGGATGTGGCTGGGGCTGTGCATGGTGTCCCATGGATGCCAATGCCTGGCCTTGAGTAGGCTTTGGTGTGGGGTGTTTTTTTTTGCTGCCAACTGCCCGGCGAGGGCCTGGGGCTGCCCGGCTGCAGGGTGGGCTGCAGCCCAGGGCTGTGCACCAGCAGGTCCCCCACCCTCCCCGGCAGGGCTCAGCCCACAGCCCCACCATGGGTCTGCCCCACAGAGCCTCGGGGACCCGCGGAGATAGGTGCAGAGCTCCCCATCGGGAATGGCAGGTAAGCTGGGTGCTTCCCCTAAGAAGGGGAGAGTGTGTGTACGCACACGCGTATGCATGGGTGCATGCACGCTGGCGTGTGTGCATACGCGTGTGTTGTGTTCGTGGGTGCAAGCACGCGGGCGTGTGTGCAA